CGGTGGCCGAAGAAATCTCCCGAAACGTGGCGACCGTCCCAGATCCCCTTCGGAGGTGGGGTGTGGCGCGGCCTGGCGCCGTGGGCTGAGGTAGCTCCGAGGCGGGGTGCCCTCCTTCTGCCCGTCCTCCGGCCTGGACTCGGGTCTGGAACCCGGCCCTCTGTGCCCCAGGAGCCCAGCTGGCGTTGTGCTGGAGTTCCTGATCCCTTGCGCCTAGGAGGCTGCAGTACCTTTTCCTCGCTTTCTGTGTTCTTATTAGAGCTTTTAGCAAGGTATTTTGTCGTGTGGCTCCTTTCTTTTAACTCCTGGAACAAGCATGTAATCTGCACGGGTGAACCGCAAATAGCTAGTGGGCTACGTGAATGAGAATCGCTGGTGTGGTTTGGAAATGGAGATAAGCACCAGTGCTGTGCATGTTTAGCAGGAAGCTGCTGTAGTTAAGAGTTTGTGTCTAGATTCGTATGGTCTGCTTCCACCCCCAAAATAATGAAAACTTCTTGTCTTTTTTCTTTCTTTCTTCAAATTCTTTATAAATATGTGAAAAAGCCACTATTTGCCTTTCTTTATAATGGTTACCTAGAGGTTTGATAAGAATGGAGATTAAGCTAGATGTTCTCATCTCTACATGTATCAAGCAGAGAAAACCATGGCCTCGTATCTCGTGGCTTGGACAGGTAAGCATAATGAACTTTTATTTAAATAAAATTCGTAAGAGTGTAGGGGTTTTAATTATATAATACTTTATCCTTCCATTTGGGGGTGACGTGGTAAAAAAAGCCTCAGGAATTTGAATGGATCCCACTTAAGAGTTACTGAAATAAATGGCTTATTTTTCTGTCTTACTGACAACAGGGAGTGGTTTTTTTCTTTCAGGTTTGTTTTTATTCTTTTCCACCAAAAGACCTGTCCCTTATATGAGATCAGGTTTTTTGGATTGTTCTGGTTATTCGTAACCTTTTTTACAGTACATTGTTGGAAATGGTGAACAAAAATTTCTTCCCATTCCATCCTGCATCTGTTGAAAGGCATGCTTTCTTAAGCTGTTTTGATAAAATGAGACTAATTATGTTTTGCTTCTTTTCTGATATATGATTTGCATTTTAAGTAGGTAGCCATTTAAGGCTAATTCTTTCTTCTATTGAAATAATTGTCAAAAATCTCACTAAATTAAACACTCAGAGGTGAAATAGTTAGTGTCTAATTTGTTGTTGTCATTTATGGGCAGGTAGTTCAGTTGAGTGACTTTGAAGACCTTTCTAATAAAGACTGTAAAATTAGTTTGACAGTTTGAAACCTGTGAACCAAATTCATCATCTGTATCGGTTGATGTTAGATGCGATGTTGTACTGTAAAGCAAATAGGCCAAAGGATGAAGTTAATGTGGTAATTGCAGCTGTAACATAATTTCTTTTTAAAAAATTATTTTTCCCTAACATTATTTATCTCTGCATTATTTTGCAGGCTTACATAGAAAATAGTGTTTTAAAAAATAAGATGCTCATCTTTCTTTCAACAGGAAAAAGAGGCTGTTTTCCTTCTAGATGATAAACGTATAAATGAAATTAACCTGTCATCAGGGAAGACAAAGAGGAAAATCCCTCGGCTGCAGTCATTGTTGAAAAATGTAGTTGTTTTAACAACATCAAGAAATGGTTAAGTATAGTATCTTATATATTATAAACTCATGTTATTTGTAGTTGTAACAGTTTAGAAAGGTAGAACATCTGAAGAATGTGCCAGTTCATTGTCAGTGTTAGAACTGTGGCTAAGATGGAAGAGAAGTAATTTTAAGTACTTTGCTGTAATATCCTTCAAAACATCTCTCCCACAATGAACACAGGTGCTTGGTTGGCGGGAATGCTTACAACAGGAGAGCTGTTTATTTGGAATAAAGATCTGGACTGCTTGAAAATTGTGCCAGCAGTCGAAGAATCTAGGAAAGTAGTTGCAGCAGCACAAGGTAGGTTTTTTTCAAGTAGTCTTTTGAAAAATGGAATAGAGCAAAAGTGGTTTTCCTTTGGTTAAGTGGTGTTGCGCAGGTAAAAGCTATATGCTCACTTTGTTTTGCGTTTTTATAATTTGTGTGCTAGCTAAGCTTTGACAAATTTCCTTTTTGTTACTTGAATGGTACAATCTCTTGTCAGTAGTAATGAATGTTGAAATACAGTAAATATTTTAAATGGTTAGTTTTTAACTAGAAGAACATTCCTTACTAGGTTATCAATACCTCAGAGTAGGCATACACCTGATGTAAACCGTATGCACATGATAAGTTTTTTCTGTAGGTAGGTTTTTATGACAAGTGCTAACTGGAGAGAATAGCGTGAAGGCACATATTTGCAAACTTAAGTATCAAATATTGTCATGTATTGAGTAATCTCACTGATACCAGGTTGGACAGTGAAGTACTGTACAAGCAATTCTGTAATTTCATGGAAAATCAGTACTGCATTTAGGAGCTGAATGTAACAGATTTTAGAACTGTTAAATGCGGGAGCAGAAACTATTCTGACTCGTTGTATTTGTTGTTTTGATTTTTTTTCCCCAGAGTGTTTGATGAGATTGTACTTGTATGTATCCGGAGATGGCAGAAAGGTGCTATTAACTACTCCTACAGCATGTGTCTTTTTGTGGGAGGACACAGAACATGAAAATACATCTTATAAAAATTCTTCTTCTGGGCGTTGGACCCAGGTTTTGCCTGATGAATCAGTCGTGTTGCCTTCTACTGAAGAAAAAGAAATTGGAGTGCATGTTGCTTTCATACAAAATGAGGTAAAAAGTAAACCCTAAAGCAGTCATTTAATCTCTTAAGTAAATTAGAGCCACAGAAGCTACAGTGAGTTTTGAGAATGAGTGGTATCTGTCTCTTTGGTGTTGTGTGTAGGCTTTATTGTTCTGTTCATATTAGATGTACCAACAAAATAAGAACAACCATACTGGATCAGGTCAGAGTTTTTATGGACCAGTAATATTCTTGCCAGTCTTCATATTTCTCAATGACAACATTATGTGATTTGATCTGAATTGTAATACCTGTTGGTCTAAATATAGAAATTATTAAAGAGAAAACTGTGTAACCAGGTTTTTTGGGTCTGTTCTGGCTTTGCTTGTCATTTTTTTTCCCACAGATTCTAGGTGATTGCTGTTTGTGCTCTTTTGTGTTTTACTCTGGAGAATGTTTGGTGCTCACATTTTTGATTCTTCAATGGCATGAAAGTAGCTTTAAATATGTTAGGTAAGTTCAAATATATTTGAAGTTACATAAGCTTAAGAGGAAGATTTTTATTATGAAGCGCTTTATGGCTCGGATTCAGAGCTGCAATTGAACACATTTACATTGATGTCCAATTAGCATATGGTTACAAACAGCTATTTGTGTTTGCATGTCTGTGTTCACAGCATGCAATGTGATGATCCACATATGGACATATATGGTCATTTTCAAGTATTTAAAAGTGGTTGTTGCAGTGTTTATGTTTATATTCCATACCTCATTATTAACTTCTGCTTAGATAAAACTGAGTTCATTTATCACTGTATGTGGGTGGGTATGTATACATAGACATGCCTGCACACATGTGTGCATTAGTGTTAGGGAGTTTTTTGCATCATGTTAATGGAGTTTCCTTTTCTTGTTTTTCTTATATTGCTAGTGCATACTGTGCAGCCATGAATGCCCTGAATACCTCTTTCTCTTCTTTATTATGCATGTTTGGATATTTTGTTTGTCTGCTGTTCCTCTTTTCATCTCTTATGCCTACTCTATGTAAGAGGGGTTGTGCATTTCTTTATCTGGGCTGGGACCATATGCTGAAATAGTTATACTGATACAGCCACTTAAAATTTAAATGGAATAATAATCTTGGCTATAGGCATAGTCCATTCCTCTTCCTAAGTGAGATACACATATGTATAAGTTTAAATGGATATGTCCTCTGCAGTATAATTTGAGTAACTTGCTAAAATTTAGTCCTGCACTTGATTGGGTACAGCTGCTTTTGTTAAATGATGCTTTTTTGATACTAACTGAGTAATGATGTTCTCCTTGCCCTACTAAGTGGCGTCACTCTGCAGTCAGTTTGCCAGTAGCATGGTCTGGTCTTTCTGGTAATATAAAAAATGAAATAGAGCATAACATTCCCAGTGTAGAAGTACATACATATACTGTAGTACTTGCAGCCTGAAATTGTAACCATGTTTCTCAGCCACGTTACTCATAATATCTTTATGCCAACTATTACTCAATTTCATTGCTTACTATGGCTTAATTAACTTTTTCATTTTAATGCTTTATTTTTTGTTCATTAGGTGGCATGCTTCCCAATGGATTTTTTCATGTGTTCTCTATCATGTTGTGAATCTTTTTAGTATCATAGAATGGTTTGAGTTGGAAAGGACCCTTAAATATCAGCTAGTCCAACCCTCCTGCCGTCGGCAGCAACAACTTTCACTAGATCAGGTTGCTAGAAGCCCAATCCAACCTGACTTTGAACACTCCCAGTGATGGGGCATCCACAACTTCTTTGTTCAGAGCAGCATGCTGTTGATTTTCATTTTGGAATTCTGCGTATTGTTGTGTTGATGACATTACACTGTCTGAGAAAGCTATTCCTGGTTAGAATGCGAGTGCCTTAATTATATGGCATTCGTCTATATTTGTTTGCATGTTCTATACACACAGCCCAAATTCATGTCTTGTAAAAGTAATTCTCAGTGCAGTGCTAAGGCATAATTTTTAAATTCATGTAAATACAAAATACTTTTTATTTGTAAAGTTTTTGAGGAAAAATAGGTGGTTTTTTTAGTTGTTCATGCTTTATGTGTTTTTGTCTTGCATGTTTTTTCACTAAATACGAATCATCGCATTGACCTTAACTGAGTAACCTCTTGGTTTTGTTCTCTCTTTTTTGTTTTTCAGTTCTTTGCCATACCAGATCCACTGGGAACAGCAGACTTGTTCTCTTGTTAATTTGGTTCCTCAGTGTGTGTCTGTAAAGTCAAGAGGAGCTCTGCTATGTGCATTTGCAAGAGATGGACTTCTGCTTGCAGTAGCTGTTAATCAAACTGATCCAAAGGTTTGAATGATAGACAGTATGTAATCTAAGCTAATAGTTCAGTTTGAATGAAGTGGTAACAAGGATTTAATAACACATTTTTAGGATTGATTTTTCAGTGTTCATATTGATGCATGTGATTATGTTCACATTGACATTCATAGCTAAAAAATTCTGCTACATCCTGTAGTTTTTTGAATGCTGTTGTTCATTTAAGAAATCCGTGTATGCTCCTTTGTCATTTCTGAACTCCAAGAAATACAATGATAATGAAATCAATTTCAGTTACCGCGTTGTATCTGCAAAGATTCTGAGTGGTTCTCAGTCAGGCGTCGGCCTAACATGTATTGGAAGTTGTGTTCCGACTTCATAATGTTATTCCTTTAAACAACTCCGAGGCCAAATCTTCATGTTTTTACGGCTAATGATGGCCGGGAATATGGACCAGCTTATTTAGTGTACCAGCATGGGATGGTGCAGTCCTTCAAAGCTCCAGTTGCTATTCACCGATGAGACTAAAGAAGAGTGTTCTTAAATTATTTTGGGGGTTTCAAAACAAGTTCTATTAAAAGGAATATTGAGTTATATATTGAGTATATAATAATTATTTTTCAATTGTAGAAGTAGTATAGGAATTAGTAAATACTGTAAACAGTAATAAATATTGAAGTGGAATGTCAGTTTCGTGTATAATATCTAGTATATCAAATGTAATGCGCAGGGTGCTAGTAGAAACCATTTTTACAGTAATGACATTTTGATACAAACATGTATATTTTCTTTCCATTTACTCTCTTTCTAGGCAACTCAGGTTTTGTTTATAAACACATTGAATTTTGTAACTCTTTCGGGTAGCCTTAAAGGCTGTAGTAGCAAGAACAGTAAGGTCCCATCCAAGTTTATCAGGTAAGTCAGTGATGTTGTTCCTGCTGCTGTTATGGATTTTTGCTTTTGTATTGTGGGGTTTGGTTTGGTTTGTCTTGTTTTTAAATATCGTAACTTTTTGACATGGAAATTTGACAGAGAAAAATCTTTTTTTGTACCTAATTTAGATCTTATTGGGTTGGTGATATGAGTTGGACTCCTGATAGCCTTTTCTTGGCTTGCATGTTAAAACGTGGATCTTTGATTTTGTTGACATGTATGGGTGAATTGCTGACCTTGATTACTTCTGGCTGCTCTGTAGAATTTGGACCAGCGGAGTTTATTCCATTTCATCCACTAATAACATACAGGTAAAAAAAAGATGGATAGTGTGCAGATGCAACATCTGATTAGAACATTCAAAACATCATGGTACCTTCTTACACTGTCTGGTTGAAAAATCAGATAATATAATAAAATACTTTAGCTATGTTTATTTATTGAATGTATGCAGCTACTTTGTTTTCAAATTATTTACTAACTTTTGTACTATTAAGAAATAAAACCCAGTAATTTTATACATTATTTCAAAGTATTATGGGGCTAATATTAGAATATACAAACAAACAGCTTTCTGGAACTCAGTAAGGACTGATTTCTTTATAAGAAAAGACTTGGTAAGACCTCTTGTATAAGAGAAGACGTGTGTTGATATCAGCTATTTCTGTTGAATGTCTGAACTGATTCTGAAATACTAAGAATCAGATCTTGGGGGACTTTGGTTTTCGTACATGACTTTGTTAGAAGTTACTTAGAATTTCATCGTCAAGCACTTGTTGTACACGGTAAGAGCTAGATAAGAAAGTGTAATATAGAAATTTAAAGTAAAATTGTGAAAAAATACATGCAGTACTTACTAATGAAATAAGAGAATACTGAAAGCTGTTTTTATTTTTCTTTAAATTAAAAAAGTTGCAAGTGCAGCAAAATACTGGCATCTTGCGAGCATAAATAGTGTTATTGAGAGTGCTCATCCTGCAAAAATTTAGACTCTTCCTTAGAATTCTGAATGGACCTACTTGGGACAATAGTGTGAGTGGTATTAAATGTTAATAGGTTATTTCTCCTCTATTCTTTCCATTATTATTGCTTCTTATTTTTTTATGTATCTTTCCGTTAGACAGCAGCACTCTTTTTGTCAAGACTCTAGTCAGTCTCTTGGTTCTTCAGCTTCTGAAAGTGATGTTATGAGACAGAGATTCTCTGTTGCTTCGCATTCAAGATTACCCTACCTCATCGTGTCCGATGGATACATGATAACGGTGCTTAGATTTTCTAACAACTTTTCACCATCAGGCTTTATAAGATCCCTTTTGCTTGACTCAACACATCGGCTTGAAAATATTAATCAAAATTTGCTGAACTCCAAGGTAGGGTTATGAATTATTTTTTAGGCTTTAAGTAAAAAACTGTGTATGTATAAAAATGTGTAATTTTTAAGCTGCGTACCCCAATTTATTTTACTGTGATATTTATATAAATTCCTTTGAATTATATTTTGAGAATAATGTTGATCTGAAAAACAGTGAATACACAGTTTTCTCCGAAATTTTCTTCCTTTGATGTCTGGATGACATTTCAGTAAAATTTAGTAAATGCGACAGTCTTAACTGTCACTATATATTCCTGGAACTGTAAAAGAAGTTGCAGTTTCTATATCTATGGAGTTGGTTCAGAGCATTAACAAATATTACATTACGCTGATCAACTCATCCTTTCAGAATGTTGCAGAAAGGATTCCGTAAAACCTCTCTCTATCTTAGGCTGCTGCTATTTCAGAGCAGTCAGCAACAGTCCCAGTGGTGCTGTGTGCATGTGTTCACTAGGTCCTCAATTGAGGTTGTGAATTAAAGCTTCCTTAAAGTATTTTCATTTCCTTGTCTGTCACTTCTAAATAGAGCTAAGTCTGGGAGAAGGGAAACCTTTGAAGAAAGAGGTCCTGCAACCTTTGCCAACCACATAAGATATAATAGATCTGAAGTTCAGGATTTTTGCATTTGCTGATGGAATAGAACTTATCTTCCAATTCAGTTTGCATTTTGGAGTTTTGGAGAAGTGAATTAGGATGATATTAATGCATAAGCTAGAAGAGTGGGCAAGAATGTAGGGATTTAAAGAGATACATTACTAGCAAGAATGCTTCAAGAAAGCCCTATGTACTGGCAGACTTCAGGATCATTTCAGGGATCAAGAAAGCATGTTCTTTCAGCATAAAGCCAAGTAAAGTAGTCTGGTGCGGAGAAAATTCTGCATTGCTGAATCATGGTCAACTGATAGGTTGTTTCTGTGTAACATATGCCTGCTTACCTGTTCTCCTTTTCTGTCTAGGACTTTTAAACTGAAGCTTTTTGCAGAAGGGACCAGTTTCCTTGTTTTGTTTAGAAGGTGCCTGGTACTATAAACAGATAATATTTTTGTGTTATTTCTTTTAGTTGGAAGGGAGACCTCTATGTTTACGATCACTGTTGTCTTTAAAAGCTAGTCTTTTAAAACACGCTCAGAACCAAAGTTCCATCTTTTCCATCATTCCGAAATTCCTGGAAGAAGGCACCACAGAAATGAGTGAGAAAACCATGGATTTACTGGTACTTAATATCATTTTCCACATAGAATTATGCAAATTATTCAGTTTTAAGATATCCTAAATGTAAAGAGTTGGGGCTTTTTTTTTTTTAATAATATAGGCATATTTGCTCCTACCAGGAATATTTAAAGTACCTTAGTATTGGTTAAATTCTCGTTTTATTTATAGATGCGAGGAATGTTGTTCGTTCTTTTTCAACTGATGCTTGATTTTTATTTTCAAACATCTTTTTTCAGCAGTATATTACCTTTTGAAAAATGTCATAGAATGAATCATAGAATCATAGAATGGTTTGGGTTGGAAAGGACCTTAAAGATCGTCAAGTTCCACCCCCCCTGCCATGGGCAGGGACCCCCTCCACTAGACCAGGTTGCTCAAAGCCTCATCCAGCCTGGCCTTGAACACCTCCAGGGATGGGGCATCCACAGCTTCCCTGGGCAGCCTGTTCCGGTGTCTAACCACCCTCACAGTGAAAAACTTCTTCCTAATGTCTAGTCTAAATCTACCCTCTTTCAGCTTATACCCATTACCCGTTGTCCTCTCACTACACTCGCTGATAAAGAGTGCCTCCCTGTCTCTCCTCTAGGCCCTCTTCAGGTACTGGAAGACTCCTATTAAGTTTCCTTGGAGCCTTCTCTTC